TAATTCTGGCGCTCGAAAGGAGCTCTCATAATTTACAATGTTACTTGATGCGCTAAAAACGTTATCTTTGTGTTGTCACGTGGTGGAACACAACATTGTTGTGCTTGCGTGCTTCATTGCGATTAATACTACGTGTGCTCGACCTGCACAATCCTCTGGTTTTGAGCCTGTTTTTTCTTTTTTAATCCAAAATACTTCCAAATAACAGAGGATGACTTGTTTCATCCTACTAAAGCCATCAATGTGTTCTGCATTTAAAGGAACGGTCTAGCGAGGAGAGCCCATTTTTCCACTCAAAATCTCTCCATGTGCTACATTTTTCGATCAGGAAAAATATAATGGCTTGCATTTTCAATTTTATCAATCTGTTTTGGAGAAACAACTAAATAACTAACTACTTTCAAAACTTTTCTGCACTTTCAAGTATGATATTACACAACGTGTTCATCTCAGTCACGACTTTTACAACGCAAGCTACAGTGTGAAGAGATACGGCAGGACCATAACTACCTTGGCCACATGCGATGCAGAAGTAGAGGATTGATGGTACAAACACGTAAGAATGAGCTTGGTGATCTACATATAAACATTAATATTACACGGGTTTGGGGTACGTCTCGAAAGTTGTACTGTATATGTAAGTTGTTCAAAGAGGCAACCAGCTTATGCAGGATTTCAAGTTTAGCGTCCAGGATTTCAAAAATTAAAATGAAAAATATTAATTTTGTTTTGTATGACATTTCTTTTTGCGGGGGGGGGGGGTGCTGGGGAGTCAGTCAATATTTGGCATTTCCTCATTTGGGTCAACAATAAGCTGGAGCTTCTACCAGCTGACTTTGAACAAAAGGCGGGGTACACCTCAAACTGCCGGCCCTTCATAGGGCACACGCAGACAAACAAATGTTCACACAGACATTTACACCTTTGGACAACTCTGAATCATCAGTTAAACAAACATGCATTCTTTGGAATATCGGAGATAGCCTGAGCCCCTGAAGAAATTGCACTCAAATACAAAATGAATAGGGCGGCCCGGTAATCCAATGGTTAGCGCGTCAACATCACAGTGCAGAGGTACCGGGTTCAATTCCAGCGCCGGCCTTCCTGTGTGGAGTTTGCATGTTCTCCCCGGGCCTGCGTGGGTTTTCTCCGGGTACTCCGGTTTCCTCCCACATTCCAAAAACATGCATGGCAGGCTGATTGAACACTCTAAATTGTCCCGAGGTGTGGGTGTGAGCGTGGATGGTTGTTCGTCTCTGTGTGCCCTGCGATTGGCTGGCAACTGGTTGAGGGTGTCTGCTCGAAGGTGGCTGGGATAGGCTCCAGCACCCCCCGCGACCCTTGAGAGGATTAAGCGGATCAGAAAATGGATGGATGGATGGATACAAAATGAATGCGAGAACTCCACAAAAGGGATTCTACTGGAATGTCAGAACTGCAACACACACGTGATAACCACAAGTTAATCTTTTTATTTCAATCTGTACAGAGATGCATAAGAATTAATTCAGGTTTTCCCACAATGCTTTATAAACCTGGTGGGCCGCTAGGCTTTTTTTTTACCGCCGCCAGGCTCAGTAGTGATCAGCAATTTGGGGTGCGCAGGCACCCTTTCACAATGTGGCAACTAAAAGGAGTTAAAGGCGGTACATGTCCAGCCAGCCAAAGTCTCCTCGACTTTAAAACCCCGATTTATTACAAATATTGAGGCCCGGGGTAAAAAATGTTCACAAGTGCGCTTCAGGCAGCCGCCTGAGCGCTTGGACACCGGGGTGTGATGATGACAAACGAGCCGTGCATTTTCCGATTTAACTGTACTTTTACCTTTGCTCTTGGATACTTCTAACCATGTGGACTAAATTGACATTGGATGACAGTGCAAATTAACAAGATCAAGCAACTTTTTACTGCACTTTCAACTTCTCGGATGAGAAAACGCGACCTGAGGGACCTGCGTGGATTGTTGTCAGATCGGGCTGGAGCCATAGTTGGCGGAGGCAACGGAATCAAAAGCGGTGCGGCTGAGAAGGGATGTGGCTCATCTAAGATGAATGCTCATCACTCAAACTTTGATGCCAAGCCTTTCTCCCTCCGACCTGGAACAACTAGTGGGTGACGTTTATGACTATTGCATTTAGTAAACTTGGAAACCTGGCTACACGCTTCCGCACAACTGTACTTGAGGCTAACTGCGGCACAATGTCAAGTTTCATCAAGAAATTATGATGTCCAATAAATCGCAGACTACAACTAACGACGACTTTATTGCACGCTTGCAACTAGAAGTTGGTCCATCCATCCATCCATTTTCTAATCCGCTTATCCTCACGAGAGGCTGGAGCCTATCCCAGCTGTCTTTGGGCAGAAGGCGGGGTACACCTTGAACCGGTTGCCAGCCAATCACATGGGACACATCGACAAAGAACCATTTGCACACACATTCACACTAAGGGACAATTTGGAGAGCCTCATCAACCTGCCATGTATGTTTGTGGAATGTGGGAGGAAACCGCAGTACCCGGAGAAAACCCACGCAGGCACAGGGAGAACATGCAAACTCCACACAGGAAGGCTGGAACCGGAATCGAACCCTGCACCTCGGCACTGTGAGGCTGACGTGCTAACAAGTTGACTACCGTGCCACCTTTGTATTTGTTACTGATTCTTCATTTGTCTTCCTTAAAGATGCACTGCGTAACTTTCCAGGTATGACCAAAACCCACAGCGTTTTCTCTGACTACATTAGATTATTATAAATAAACTATCCCAAAGGAACTAAGGCCCCACACCGAAAAAGTCCACAATTGGAATGACACAATCTGTTAGCATTTTCACAGATGTCGTCAACAAAAAGAAATGATCAACTAACTTGAATAATTTTGAGTCTGTTAGAAAAAACACAATTTGTCATTTGATCAAAATGTGGGTGACCATGAATGCAAAGCAACCATCCACCAGGAAGAATACAATATCGGTGGACGATAAAATAAAAACATCTTTTCAACAATGACAAAAGTATGTTTTATCCTGGGTTGATAAAACAGAGATGAAAGTGGACTTTCCTGAAAATTCCGGAAAAAATAAAAAATTATATATACTGTGTGTGTGTGTGTGTGTGTTGCATATATATATATATATATATATATATATATATACACATACACACATGGGCGTGTATATACACAAAGATAGGTATGCAATTTTAAAGGTGAATAAGATTTAAATTGTATTACAGTACTCAATAACAGTCTGATAAAATATTGACAATTTTGCTCCCTCTACACTCGAGCATTCAAACCTTGATGACATCATTACAGTTTTATACTTAGAGGCAATTCATGAGTTAAATATTGTGACACGACTTTTTAAAAACTTTTTTTTCCTGTCTTTGCTGAGTTGTATTTTATTGAAGCAATCAAGGTGGAATATTACCAAATAGATAAAACTTTTACTGTAGATTTTTTTCAGGAAATAAAGTGGAATCTCATTTTTTTCTGATTAAAATAAATCTGAAGAATAAAGTTGTATCTCTTTGGAGGGGCGTAATATGAGAAAGTTAGATATTTGTAGTGAGAAAAATAAAAGTTTCATATTGCCTGAATAAATATTTTGAAGAAAGCCGTATTCCTTCCCGGAAACCCGTTTTTAATTTTATTCCAGGTTGACTCCAGGGTTTGTCCAAGTTGTGGTATCGGGATCTCGAGTGGTGTTCGGGCTCACTCTCGTGGCACTTGAAAGAATTCCCGCTCACCAATCACCGCCTCTGAACTTTCAAAGTTCAACCAATAAGCGCCGACGCAACGATGTCACACACAACAACAGCTAAGCTAAGGTAGCTGAGACGACACTCGAAGTCGGACGGACACGTTTTTCTGCCAATCTGTGTGTTTCCCTTTCTGTCCAAATATATTTTTTACGACAACTGTCTTGTCCACGGTGTCTTTTATTCGTTCCACTGGGGTTTAGCAAGTGTGTTTATAAAGAGACGAAAATCTCTTTACTGTTACTAGGGTTAGTGTCTCAACATGGCTACGCTCGTGGAAGCAAAACAACGAACTCAAACGCGTCTTCGTTCAATATTGTCAACTAATATCCGGATTAATTTTAGGCAATTTTCCCTCAATTCTCCGGAGAGATTTTCATAAAAATTTGAAAAACCCGGAATTCCGGGAAAATCCGGAGGCCTTTCATCTCTGAATTAAAACAAAGCCATAAAAACAAACAGTGCTTCCATGTTGAACTGTTATGATAGTTAGGGCAGCATCGTGAGTTGATCTGGTGACAGTAAGCTAAACTAATGAGAAACCAAAACAAATAACCCAGATTTTTGCAGGTTGCTCACAGGCATCTCTCGTATTAGTGTCACCAGCCAGCAAATCAATTTAAAAAGCAGACAGTGGCATTTCCAAGCTTATTTGAATTGCCGTTACTGTGTTTCTGAAGCAACGGGAATGTGGTGAAAAACATGAGGGGGTGTCTAATAATTGTATTCTATTCCGTTAAAAGGATCTTTTCGGGGGTTATATAGGGGATTTTACAAGTTGATTTTCCATAATGAAGCTAGCATCGGCACACCAGCATCAATGTCACAAAATAACATTGTCAAGATTCAAAACGTAACAAATTCTACAACTTAGTTTACTCAAGAGCTTTCTCATCGGTTGATGAACTATTGTCTCAATAAAAAAAGTGGCAAAAGTTAACATAGGACATGATCTAGTGTAAACAAACCATATGTATAGCCAGTCGAATGGGAAAAAATATATATGTCTTATGTATTACTTTGCTGACACTATTATTCCAAAACACTTGAAGATTGAACTCAACATCTTGATTTATCAACAAGAAAAAAAAAACAAGAGATGCCAAATGCTTTACAAGATGATTTTGTTGAATGCAAACAAGTCACCACCCATTCCTTCTGACTAACAGTACATAAATCCTATTCGCAAACTAATTGCACTGTCAATAGAGCGAAAAAGAGTTGCAGCAGCTCTTACCTCGATGAGGAAGTCCCCCGTCCGGAGCCCGGCCTGCCATGCGACGCCCCCTTCGTCCACCGACTCCAGATACTGCAAAGCAGGGAAGGCCGGGGTGGGCGTGAACTCCTCAATGGGCGTATCCGCTTTGCAGGAACAGCGACAAAAAAGGGAAATGACAAAATGACCACTTGCACAATCTGATGATTTTGGTTAATTTGCTGCCGATGGAAGTCGGTATGTTACAGTACTGGTCTACAAACTACAAGCACAATAACACACATGCACTTGTATTTTTGAACAAAATGAGGTAAAAATCCATCATTCCAAATTCCATTTGAGTAAGCAGCAGCATTGGAGGAGGAGGTTTCGAAAATAAAGCACAGCCTTAGACAAAAGTTACCTTGAAATGTGTGGTGAATCAAAGTCAAGTCATCGAGAAATCTTTACACTGATGGATTGCCAAGTGCTGTAAAAAAAGTAGTCCACTGAAAGTACAATTATGTGTATGGAGGAGCACAACCCCTCTCCCCCCCATGAATTGTGCGCTACCCAAAACAAAAGGATTTGTTTATCAGTGATTCTCTTTGACTTTGTCATTAATTGGGCTTGAACTGAGTTTGTGTTGCTTTCTTCCCCCCCCCACACACACACACACACATGGTTGCAACTGTTGCTTGCTCCCGGGGAGGTTACAAAATATTGTGGGCGGAATGGCGACATGTGACACTTCCTATAAGTCATCCTACTGGAAGAGGGATAGCCTAGAAGTATGTGCGAGTGTTGCGTGATAGGGATGAGCATGTTTAGGTCTCCGGCTGTGAGGGTGACAGTGAGACAGTGAGATACGGACAAAGCAGTAAGAAAGGATGGGAGACGAGCAGGGAGCAAAGAACAGCAGAATATCAGGGAGCAAAAGAGGATGTAAGCCTATGTGACAGCTCGAGCATGAGTGTTTGTCCGTGTGGTTCTGTATGTGCATTCACCCCATTGCAGGATAAGCTTGGCTGGGTCAGTTCCCCAGGGTGGTGGCAGTGTGTGTCAGAAAGACTAGAACGTTCCTATTGTTTTTCAAGCCAAACCTCTCCTTTCGTCCATCACTACCTCCCCCCCTTTCTTTTTGTTTCTTAAAGATGGGAGCACGGAACACGAATTGTATCTCTTGACATAACCGCAGCATAGACCCATCGCTCCACACGCAAAAGCCAGCGAAACACAACGTGGATTATGACATGGTGAGAATTGTCATAGAAACCGACGCAGCGGTCCAAACTGTCTATTTTTAGAGTCGATCTCAAGGCTTGGTGAAATATCAAACAGCCTGGCGAGGACACTCACATCACAGACACTTCATGCTGTTTTCAAGAAAGGTGCCGATGGGTTCTGCACGGTGCATCAAAGCCACAACTGGAAAGACGGATTTGTGGAATGTTATGTCTGCCATGAATGGTGGTGAAATGTGAAAAGAAAAAAAAAACCCACGAGGGGAGCATCTTCAATTGCATCAAATAAAAAAAAAGAAAAGAAAAAAAGAAGGAAAAAAGAAAAACCTGCATATGCATGCTGGATAGCAAATAAAGTTGCTTCCAAACCCAAAATGGTGAACTAACCCGCCGAAGCACTATTCTTCTCAATTAGATGAGTCAATCTACCACAAAATATTACACATCTCACATCATCATGAGTGAATTTGGAACTTCGACTGTTTTCATGAGTGACTGACTTGTGAGAAAGGCAGAAAATAATGGAGAAAATAAATTTCAGGAAAGTGTGAGAATTACCTTTTGCTCCTCGCAGGACGAAGCCAAATCCTTCATTCTCCTTCTTCTGGAGTACGACCGTCTTCTCGTCCACCACGCAGTCACTGTGGAGAAGATGCCGAGCAGAGCGGCCGTTAGCACAGCCCATCATTCGCAGCATGGCCACGGACGCCCTGGCCGAGTGGAGGTTCATGCTGGAGGAGAGCGAGTCCGGCCGGGGCAGGGCTACCCCGACCCCACCCCACCCCAGCGGGCTCTGTGTATATCACACGGTATGACAGTGGCCCCGGCAGCCTGGCGACAGCATCTCCAGGAAAGACGCGACCCCAAAAATGAAAAAAAAAAAAAAAAAAAAAAACGACGAAGACGACGTAATTCCCTTCTTTGCCACCACCTTCTTCGTCTTCTTCCTCCGCCGGCGCTCCCGGGGAGCCTCCTGAGCGGAGAAGCGGGCTTGACGCCGCGGTTACCCCCGCCGCTGCTGCCGCTGCTATTGCTGCTTCCTCTGCCGAAGCTCCGGCCAGCGATGTCGGTCTGCGCGCTCCAAAGGAGGCGACATCGGGCTGGGCGGAAGCGCCTCACGGCCCGAGACCGAGACTGGGCTCGGGAAAGCCGAATCTCATCGTTTTGAAGACTCGATGAGGATGGGGCGCTATCGTGATGAGGTGTGTGAGCCACTTCACGTACCGAGACCAGCTGTTACGGCGTGCGTGCGCGCGTGCGCGGTGCGAGGATGTGTGGCCCTCATTTGCGACTGTCTGTGTTGAACTCACCGACTAATCGGTTAATTGATTCCAATAAATCATGAGGCGTGATGGCTGTCAGTTCAATTCCCTGTCCTTTGTTATGTCTTTGCAGTTTCACTAATTACTCCCAATCAGAACTTCTGCTGTCGAACAGAACCGATTTTTGCGCAGTCGAAAATGTGCCAACTATAACCAAAATATCAGCAAAAAAAAAAAAAAAGAAGAATCAATTAGTCTGCTTTTTGCCAAACTGAATACACTGTTTCTCCTTGGTTGAACGTCAATGGAACATAAATTGACACATTTAATTTGTTCCAATAAAAGTGTCAAACTCATTTTTGTCGACGGCCACATTGTAGTTACGGTTTGCCATGGCGGGCTGTTCTGAATTTTGGGAAACCATATACATGTTTAATCACTTCCACATATTACATATACAACGCACAACAAATTTATGAACAACTAGTTTTAAAATCAGAAGTCAAAAATAATGACTGTTATTGTGGATTACATGTGACAATTAGAAAGTTTTAGTTCAGACTTCAGCAAGCATCATGCAACTTGACATGCTTGATTTCCTTTCACGGGCCACATAAAATGATGTGGCGGCCCAGATCTGGCCCCTGGGTCTTGACTTTGACACCAGTGCAATAAAGAGTCCATTTACAAAACAAATCATTTAGAAACAAAATAAGGTTTCAATGAAAGTGAATGGAAATAGAATTACTCTCATCCAGCCACAGAATGAATTTTTTAGAATGAAGTTAAAAATAAATATAGTACAATACAGTTTATTGCTGATTAAATAAATATGTTGGTATTTTTCTTGCAAATTACTTTGCAAACGTCTCACTTTGGTGTATTTACAGTTTTGTAACCATCAGGAAGCATTCTTTCTCCATTTATTCATAACAGCAGTCTTAGCTTCGTCAAAACAGTTACTCCTTTAAACATCGGCTGCTTTTATTGCCTCTTTATTCTTGACAAAAAAGAGGATGGTATATTATGCTGAACCAAACTCCAAAGCGAACATGAGCATCTCATTTTCATGTTACGCTCCTTCCTAAATTTCTTTCAATAGAAAAATTATTTTGTTTCTTAATAGATTAACGAGCATTTTCAGTTTATTTGAATGTATATTGAGGGCAAATTTAGAGCAAAGAACATAGATAATGGAAATATGATGCGAGAAAAGTGCAAGTGAACCTTCCGTGTTGATGTGATGATTTTGCGAAATGAAGGATAATGTGGTGGCCGTAAACAGAATTGTTCATGAAATGGGGCAATCCTGAACCGAGGCTCCACTGTATTTTTCTTGAAGTCATCCAACTGGTGCAATAGTCCGACTACCTGAAGTTACATCTTGAAGTTGTGTAAGGGATTAGACAAACACAATATTATCATGTTTTAAAGTTTCATTTTGTCGCATGTTTGATTGACCTCGAACACGTGTGTTCACACATCTTGCACACAATGGAGCACAAAGAATCAGGGGTGAATTTGAGGTGAAGGGACCCACAAGCACACGGTACCTGACCACATCTCAGAAAGGAAGATTTAACTCTCGAGTAAACACATTATTAACTGACAACTTGGAAAGGAAGATTTAACTTTGGCCGAAAGGGTGTACTCGGTACGCTCCATCATGAGAAAGGGTCACTAGCCAGGTTACGGATGTATCAGTTCATGGAAAGGCCACTCATTAAAATGTCAATGTTTCTGTTGGTTTATGGATGTGGGTGCTGGTACCAGGGGAATGCCTTGGCCTTCAGGGGTCCACTGTTCCTGCGTTCGAGCCTTTGTTCAACTGTCCCAGCGAAAATCTCTGACAAGTTGTTGTCTTCTTTTGAAAATTTCTTATTACTTCTAATTGTCATCATGGTCAATGTGATGTGATGAAGAAAAGCAGCACACCAGTTGTGAAAGAGTGTCCACTTACTATAATTTGTCTTATATCGGATGCAAGGATTACTGAAGACATACATGGGCCATGCCAGAGAGAAATACTAAACAGAGCTCAAGAGAGAGAGAGAGAGCTCAAGAGAGAGAGAGAGAGAGAGAGAGAGAGAGAGAGAGAGGGAGAGAGAGAGAGAGAGAGAGTGGTGCAATCCTAGCAACTGTTCCCTTAGCAACACAATCTGTCTGGAGAGGAAGGAGGCCTGCACTGTTGATACACTGAAGGTTATCTCACAGCATTCCCTTACACACACACACACACACACACACACACACACACACACACACACACACACACACACCCACACACGCCAACACACCCGCACACACACACACACACACACACACACACACACACACACACACACACACACACACACACACACGCACACGCCTTCATCCACCCAAATCTGACAGATTCGCTAGGTCAGTGCACTGCAGCGTGTAACACAAGCCTGACAATTTAGCCACAACGTAATCTTTTTCAACAAGTGATGGCAGGGGCTGCGGTGGGCGTTAGTGTTAAAGGAATGGGGCTCTGAATGAGGACATGCTGGACGACATGCTGTGAGGATGAAGTGTAACTTTAACATCTCGATTCTGAACTGCAAAATAGGAGGTCGGCAGGAATAGTGAAAAAGGGATGTTCAGCAAAGACATATTCTAAACTCGCTGAACTTGACAACTAGCAATTGTGGACAGGGATTCCGAACCTCCGAGAATGGACAGTGCTTTCGTCTGCATAGAGTCGTCTGCGGCATGTGACTTTTTAATAGGCCCTCAGTCAACAGCTTCATCAGCACTTTATTGAGAGCTGATGCATCATGTCGAAAAAATAACATCTGGCTCCTCTGCCTGTCTACCTTTCTCTCTCAGCATGCAGCCCCCAGGCAGCCAAAAAAGACTGATTGTTAGCACACTAGTCTGATGTCAAGGGCAATGGAAGAGACCATGCTACATGAATACCAAAACAAAAATTCATCATCCCTAAGTGTACATTTAACCAGAACAAATGTAGTTGAAGCATTAACATCGATCCATCCATTTTCTACATCGCTTGACCTCATTAGGGGTCACACGCTGACGTGTCAAATGGATTGGGGGGGACCCAAATATTGTGACCCTATAAACAACTGCATGCATGAAAGAATGTGTAGCTTGAATGCAAAAGTGAAAACACACATACATGCTTCAAACCTACTTTGCGGCATGATAGGCTGTTGCACATTAGATTCCATCAAGCAAACAATATCACACCAGTATTTCTTTATAGTTTTAATGTCTGAGTGATGAACAACCCAATACTAGCATTTCTTCACCCAAAAATCAAAACTATGATTGCAGGGGAGTTGTGCTACTTATTCAGTGACTCACAGCAGTGTGTTGGCCAAAACAGCACTTGGAACCAACTCAAAACATAGGCCCCTTTAATTCTGTTCACTTACTTGTACTCTTGAACCGAAAGAGCTGTAACTAGTTTTGATATTGAACTTGACTATTCTAGTTTTCGAAAGTATAATTGTTGCGGTAATTCATTGTCTGGACTATTTAAATTATTTGTAAACTCTGTGCACATTGACTTGACTTGGCTTTATAAGTTTAGTTTGTTTTTTTGTTTGTTTGTTTGTTTGTTTGTTTGTTTGTTTTGTTCTCAGAAATATCCACCCATGGTGTTGGTATGGATGAGACGCTTCAAGCGTTTGCAAGAAGGAGATGGGCCCTTCCACTGGTGCACGTCTGATGAGACGGCACTTTTTTTCCAGCCGCTTTTGTTGCTGTTCTATTCCAGGCAGCAACTACGCCAAATGGAAAGCTGAGTAAAATAATTATTTCTCTTTCCTTCATATTTCTTCATACTCTCTTTCCAATGTGGTAGTATAACCAAGTGACACTTCAGGTGAAGCTGCCATCATTGTGTTTGGGCATTGTGCAAGAGTGGTGTGTGTGTGTGGGGGAGGGGGGTACTAATACACTGCATTGGCTACTAGCCACTGGCTACTTGTTCAGTAACCAGCCTGTTTCAATGGAAAAGTGAGTATTTCTGTTGCATTATTGTAGGCTAAAGGCAAATGAATGTCCATTCTTGTTAAATGACAGGGCATCATGTGGAGCCAACTGTGACAGAAACAAAACATATTTTTTGCACCTGCCAATGCTAGCAAGGATAGCTATATTTCAATATACAGGGTGTCCATAAAGTCTCTTTACCGTTTCAAAAATCTATTAAAAAATGCAATTGATTCGATATTTTATTCAGATTTGTTCTATTGTATTCAGCGTTTAATTCAAGTTTTTTTGACCTCTTTTAATACACTTCTACATGGGCACCATTAGTTGCACGAAGCACATCAAGACGGTACTTGATTCCTTGCCATGTTCGCTGTAACATAGCCTCATCAATTGTGGCAATGGCATCAGTCATCCTTTGCTTTAGGTCAGTAATGTCCCTTATCTTTGTTCGAAACACGATATCTTTAACATAGCCCCCTAGAAAGAAGTCCAGGAGAGTGATAGTGAGAGTGTTGTCTTGTTGTCTGTTTGACAGGGAAAAAAATTCATCTGTGCTGTTTGTTGCACATACTGCACATTTGACAATAAAGTTGTACTTGACTTGACTTGATATCTAGTGAACGTGGAAAGGACATCAATTTCTGCAAATGTTTACCTTGACCTTTGAACTGAATATGTGGCACCACTCTACAACCATCATTTTTCAGCAAGACTGTGCACCACCACATTGGGGGCTGCATGTTCGTGGGTTCCTCAATCACACATTTCCAGACTGGTGGATTGGAAGGGATGGGCCAATTCCTTGGCTGCCACGTTCACCAGATAGATAGCAAAGGATGACTGATGCCATTGCCACAATTGATGAGGCTATGCTACAGCGAACATGGCAAGAAATCGAGTACTGTCTTGATGTGCTTCGTGCAACTAATGGTGCCCATGTGGAAGTGTATTAAAAGAGGCAAAAAAACTTTAATAAATGCTGAATACAATAGAACAAATATGAGTAAAATATCGAATCAATTGCATTTTTAATAAATTTTTTGAAATGGTAAAGAGACTTTATGGACACCCTGTAAAATGGAGTTTTTCTGTTTCCGTCTACCGTGACTTACACGTGAAGAAATGTATGTTTTTGGTGTTGGATAAAAGTGACAACACTGGTTGCTATTTTAGCACCACGTAGCGTGTGCGTTTGTGCGTGCAGAAGCTGGGGGACACGCGAGTGTCATGTTGAACATGTTCAATATCGTGTTGTGTGTGCCATTGTCGACCAACTTTTTCGTGCTCACCAAATGGTGGTGATGCTGAGATTGCAGAAATCTGGTCAGCTTGGATGATTTGTAACTCGTGCCAGCAGGCTGAACTGATGTAGACAAAGTGACTCATCAACTTTGTTGTGTTTTGTTTATGTACACGTAATTTTTAAGTTACAGTGAAGTGTAAATATGCAGTATAAGTATTTTTTTAATCTGTTACCCAAAAAAATAAATAAATAAATGTGTACTGTACCAAAAATAACATGCCCGAGAGAGGTGTACACAACTGGCGCCTGAGAAAAAAAAAAACATCCATCGATATGAGGAGGTAGATACGATGCTTCTTTTGAGTTTTGTATTAAAAGCAATGCTAAGCTAATTTTTCATTAACGTTAATGGGACAGTCACCTTTGCTAACATGGCTGCAACGAATGTGCTTGGACTGCTTTGATGGAAAAGTTGCCCCTGCCAACATGGGCACCACATTGGTGCGCTTCTTAGCATGCTTTCGTCCAGGGGTCACCAACCTTTTTGAGAGTGAGAGCTACTTCATTTGTACTGACTCTATGAAGGGTTACCAAATTGATACACGTCTGAAATAACATCTGTACAAATTACATTTAATAATATTAGAATGTGTTATTTTTAATACTTAATGATTTATTTAAATATTCAGGCTCTGATCATCTTAAAGATGTCTCACAATACTGCCAGTGTTTGCATTTTTAAATCATAATTTCTACGAGCAAATCACAATCCTAGCACTGGCGGGCTATTGGAGTGGTCCTCACGGGCTACCTGGTGCCTGCGGGCACCACGTTGGTGACCCCTGCTTTAGTCTATTCGAATGTTTAGCTTTGACAAGAGAACAGCATAACCTGGAAACACGTGACCAGTCTCAGACTTCAGGAATGGGTCATTCCATGCCAAATCACCCAGTGGGAAGTTATCAAATTTTGCAAATCAATGTCATGGCGTTAAAATGGTGACTGAATAATTTTGGGGCTAATTGGACACGACTTTCCACAAACCCGCAAATGCACACAAGCACAAACACATTCAGGTGGCCCCGAAAGCAGTGAACAAGACAGCAAAGCAAAGGAACTTTTTAGCACACGATATCTTGAAATGCTTGGGATTGAATGTCACATGTAATTCAATTATTTACTGAAGTAAAAAGCAAAAGCTTGTCTTCTGTATTGCACATGTACTTGTCTGATGATTGCAACTTCATTCAATAAAGTGGAAAATACATTTGACGTTAAATTGTGAAGAGATTTTAAAATATGGAAAGGTCGAAGATTGTCCTTCTTTTATATTGAAATAAAGGAAATCTGACAAGACGAAAACTGTGTAAGGGTTTACCTGGATGCATCAAAGCTGTCGTAGGATCCCACAGTGTAGTGTCTGAACAGTTTCCGTCTGTCAGCACGGTCCGCACGGGAATCTGGCACATCACAACAATGAGATCAGTGTTAATATCCCATCATTGGCAGTACATGAAGATGAGGTACTTCAGACGGCTTTTTAGGCAATCCAATGAAACACACACAGAAACACGCATTTGTCTCAGTAATTATAGAAAACACATCACATCTTCATTCTTCATCAGTTTTCCATAAATTGATGCAGAATTGCAAAACACCGTTGCCGTATGTTGACTCCTTCATTAACAGAGTTGTTAAATTCTTACACAGCGCTACATATACTGTACAGGGCTTCAGACTTGTTTTTTTTTTTTTTTACTCTGAGCACAGTGGACCCAACCTCAAAATACAGCTGCGCAATTACAACATTTAGGGACACACACATTAATTTGATTTGCAAATTAAATCTTCATCCCACTCGTTTTCATTACATGACGGATAAATGGGCTGAAGTGTGAAGCAGATGTTTGTTACAACAAAGAAATATTCAAGAGTAGGAATTCAAATTAATTTTTTTGAAAAAAGAAACTCAACCTACTGGTTGCACTGCTGCGAGTGGATGAAAATTGTAGTTGCGCTGTCCCAAATTTTAGGGGGAAAATGCAACCATTTTGAGGCAGGTTCGAGCCCTGCTTTTCCACTGGGGTATAATTTGGAATGTTAAGGTCATCTCTTTTGTGGGTGTGTGGAGGGTTTTGTGTGTCAATGATAAAGAATAACTTTTTAAAGCACAAAAAGTGGCTTTTTTGAAAAACAAAACAAAAACAAAACAAGGGGGCTAAATTAGTACTCAGCTCTCCACTTGTCAAGTATCATTAATATATTCTCTGCTTTTAGCCTTTCAAAGGAGGCCGTCTTTTGCGTCCTGAGACGAAAACCTTTCCATCTCTCTTTCCATCTTTACGAAACTCTTCTTGTCTTTGCTGTTCGGAAAGTGGCCACATGATGTTGGTTTTGAGCCTGAAAGAATGAGCATGGACATGCCAAATAATTTGCTGACTAAGAGGCATGTCACAGTTGGTCATTTTTGGGACTCTTCCTAAGAGTCATATTAACCTTTCAGGTGATGATAGACATCAGTCAACTAGCATTTAAATGGATTTTAAAAAAGCATAGGCAGAGGGCAACAATGTGGGATGAAAAAGTTGAAAATAAAATACTTGGGCAAGTGCTCTGGTAATCCCAATCTCAGTGTTGGTAACAGAAATATGACAAGCATTGTTAAACTTTTGAATGTTTCCATCATTCACATGAACAAGATCTCTACAACCCCTTTAATGACTTTGCCATTGAAGCTGACGCAAAAAAAAAAAAAAAAATGGAGGGTGTGTAAAATGATTACATATTAGCGATTCCAGACAGCATCAATTTCAAAAATAACAACAAATCTAGAATGAAATAAAACATTCAATAAAAACAAGGTCATTTCATTCCAGCGTAAATATTCCTCTTGTCTTAATGCGCCGTCTTTTACTTCGCATAGACACTCAGACCAGCTGTCGCACTTTCACAGAAACGGCATTCCCCCTGATCCGGCTTACATCTTGTCATCTTTGCAAGAACATTTTCTTCTCCCCCTATCTCTGTGCCCACAGTGTCACATTGGAGGAGGGAGGGTGCAGCTGGAAGAAGATGATCAAGCAACAACACAACAGCAATTTGAACAAAAAAAAAAAAAAGAGGCGAGGAGAGGAGTTCTAAGAATAGAAGAATGAAACACCTACAGTGTACATGCACACACGCACACACATGAACATAAACAGTCGTAACTCATGTAGGGACTGGAAAATGACAAATTACGAGGTTTCCCCCTTGTAGCTCATTTTGTACTCAACAGTATCTTGGACCGTGGCAAAATATGTTAAGGACTACTACAGTGGTTTAATTTATTGATTGATTGATTGATTTTTTTTTTTTGTGGAGCATATACATCAACCGCAAAATAGCCCCCAACCCATCAATTACCTTCCAAAAGGCAATATAAATTGGGTTAGGTGGTTACATGATCATCCAGCTCCGGCCTCCCAGTGTGGAGTTTGCATGTTCTCCCCGGGCCTGCGTGGGTTTTCTCCGGGTACTCCGGTTTCCTCCCACATTCCAAAAACATGCATGGCAGGCTGATTGAACACCCTAAATTGTCCCTAGGTGTGAGTGTGAGCGCGGATGGTTGTTCGTCTGTGTGTGCCCTGCGATTGGCTGGCAACCGGTTCACGGTGTCCCCCACCTACTGCCCGAAGACGGCTGGGATAGGCTCCAGCAACCCCTGCGGCCTCTGTGAGGATAAAGCAGATCCATGGACTACAATGAACTCATCAGAAGGACAGAACAGACTGGAAGACAGAGGACGTTAGAGAGGACAGATTAAGATAATTTGGATGTCCAGAGGAGAGACAGTGGACAGATATATCTGTTTAGGATGCTGGAAGTTGGAGCCACCGTGTAAAAAACAAAGAGGAAGATAAAAGAAATGAATGGACGCGGTGAGAGAAGCTTTAGCACAGGGGGGTCAAACTCATTTTTGTCGCGGGCCACATTGTAGTTCTGGTTTCGCTTGGAGGGCCATTATGAATTTTGGGAAACCATATAAATGTTTAATCACCTCCACATATTACATATACAGCACACAACAAATAGATGGATAACTAGTTTTAAAATCAGAAGTCAAGAATAATGACTGTAATTGTGAATTGCATATGACAATGTGAAATTTTGGTTCAGACTTTAGCAAGCATCATGGAACTTGACAGGCTTGATTTGCTTTCGCGGGCCACATAAAATGATGTGGCGGGCCAGATCTGGCCCCCGGGCCTTGGCTTTGACACAGGTGCTTTAGCAGATCGAGATACTGTGACATGAAAGTGATATTAAGCACAAGAAGTCAGTGGGAGCAGTTTAATATCCCGACTCAGTTGGTAATCATTTTGACATTTATATTTTTCTTAGTCCCCCGAATAATCAGCACATGCGCATGCATGTCTCGGCCATGGCTTTAACTGAGGCTACATGCCTGGGAGTCACCATGCTCTGACACTATCCTTGGACGTTACATGTTCGCAAGCTGAGCTTGGGGCACTTTGGGTAGGACACAACATTAGATGAGCTCCCTGTGCCAAAGGCCTTCAGTCAAACTGTAAAATAGGCCACCCAGAGGAAGGCAAAGAACCAGAGAGAGCAGAACAATTTGCTTCCCATCTGCCTCGATCATTGGTGACACGCTAGCTTTGGAAATAGATGAAATCTGAATAAGACCGGACAACACTGTGCTGTATGATAATGTCGTTCATCAAACAGTCAGAGAGCATAATACAAGGAGATGGAAAAAAATTCATAGAAGTCAAAAAAAATTCAAGACATTTACTCACTGGAGTCAGTCTATACAGGGCAACATTTAGAAGTGCATGAACAAGGATGACTTGTGATGCTGATGGAAGACCTAGTGTGGTGTGATACATTCAATAACTAGCCCCAAGAGGAAATCAAACCGCATTTGAGTTCGCGTGGTAATGCAACACTTGGATTTGCACTCCACAGCTTCGGGAGACACAAAGGCTGAGACACGTGACATTTATGTGTTGGAGAAAAAAAATAGCCACTTGCTATTTTGCATGGCCTTGGGAACTTTAGCATCCTGTATTGACCTTGCCGCCATGCTTCGCACAGAACTACATGCGGCAGCCATGCCCTATATCAGGGGTGGCCAACCCGCGGCTCGCGAGCCGCATGCGGCTCTTTGGCTGGTTCAATGCGGCTCCCGAGCTTTCACATGACAAGCGTCGAAAACGCCTCGGCGGTGGCGCTGCCATTCAAACAACGGCGCTAAATACACAGAACTAACTACATCAGCCTATTGTCAATCCTGTTACTTGATTGACATACAGGGCACCTAATCAGATGACAACTGAATCACCAGATTGTGTGTGTGTGTGTGTATATGCTTGCATGTGCGCAATCGGGTCGATGACGGGAGGATCGTCGCTTCGAAAGTCGATCTTTGGTGAAATATGTAGCAAGCTGACCCAAGTAGTAAGTAACTACTGCAGCTCGTGTGCGTGTGTGCGCGCGCGTGCGTGCATGTGCGCGATGTGGCTCTTTGCAGTAACACAGTGGCTCTAAGTCTCTGACTGGTTGGCCACCCCTGCCCTATATTATAAATCAATGTTCCATCCCCCCCCCAAGAGTCTTCCTCTGGCCATTTAACTTACAGCTCCTCTCCTCAGTGGCCTTGGCCAGGATCTCCTCCACACAGTCGGCTGGAAACCAGCCCACCTTGCCACGGGCGCTGCCCTCCCAGTAGCCACCTTCCCCGATGCTCAGAACTGGCCCGCGGGAAAAGGAAAGAGGAGGTGAAAAAGGACATCAGTCTCATGAACATGAAAACTAAAAAACTCTCATGAACATGAAAACTCCTGCTACGCAAGACTTGCTTATGACAATTTTTTTTTCGGGCCAAATATGGTATATACAGGTACACCCTTTCAAGACAAGTACCTGACTATATTCCAGACACATGACATGATGTACCAGAAAAAGCACACAGAATATATTTGTATGTGAAACTAGGCAACATTTACATTAGGTTTGGACTATTGCAGGAGGAAATTCTGAAAATGACACAATGCAAAACTCTAAATCGATCATCGTGACCGTGTATTAAAGGTAAGACCTTACCTTTGACTCTATCATTCTTATAGAGGTTGATCTCTCCTTCGGCCTGGGGAGTGTAAGGACGAACCACCACAAAGTGTCGCCCTGGGACGGCACTGTACAGCTTCCTCCTGGTGCCTAAGGCTTCGCCATGACTGCTGGGACTGACAAAAAAAGACGCACTATTACTGGAGCGGAACATCCAGATGCAGTCATTTGATGGCCACGTTTGTTAAGACTTCAGTAGACCCACGCTGATCATATGCACGGTTTTATTTCACCTTGGTGTTCAATTTTTGTGCTGATAAAAATCCCGCAAGGGGAAATTCAACGGACACTCTGCTACTTATTTGTGTCGCACACTTCAGAGAGAACCAGATCACACATGCGACGGAGATGACAGAGTGAAGTCGGTGCATAAACAGTGTTTGAGCTGATCAAGGGCACCTCAACAGTAGGATGGGAACAAGCTTGGATCTTTTGCTATTTTACCTTGAGTCCACAGCGGGACTTGAACGTGACCCTCCAGGTCAAGTTCTTTCAGATAAGCAAATGCGGCCCACTCACAAATCCATTTTGAACAAATTCCAGTCAAGTCAGACCCAGAATTATCTTGTTAAAAGTGACAACCACTCTTCCATTTTCTGTCCTATATGGTTTGTACAGTACATCCTAATCGTGCAACATTTCAAAAAAAAAAAAAACATTACAACACTCACAAAAGCACTTTATAACCAAATAAATACTGCATCTCTGCAGATGGGGCACTCATAATGTACATATACATAAACTCCAGATATTTTAACGTATTAGTTTGAGTTAACCCACTGATACAATGATTTCTTGGCAGGAAATTGATTCGTTAATCTCAACTCACAGGGTTTCTCTCTGACTCGAGAACAAAAATCACTTTGGGAAATTAAGCCCGAAAAACTACATAAATAAATTCAAACCCTGAACCAGTTAACAGTGAGGCAGATGTGCTAACCACGAGGTTACTTTGCTGCTGCTGCTGCTGCTAAAAAAATATGATTTCATGTTTTATACTGATCAGGTTTAAAGACAGCAGCATCTCAAGTGCTTCTTTGTCAAGTCACTGGAGTAGAGAAAAGATAACTAAGAGCATTACAGTGTTAGTTGCCGGACTACAAGTGATATTGTAGCGCCACTTACTGGTCAATCTTCACACTTCCACAACAAATACAACATAAATGAATTGGATTTACTTTAAGTCCTAAATATATTTGAACCCCTTGGATATCAAAGAAAATCAGTATTAACATGACAGACTTTTAGAAGACCCACCCTCAGCTATAAATCAAGATTCAGTTTCTATAATTGGCATTGAATGAATGGAACAATCAATGGGTTCTGTTTAGCATAAGTTATGTAAGCATAAAAAAAATTATAATTTTTTTTCCCCATCAAAATCCAGAAAAAACTATTTTTAATAGAATGACATCCAGTTTTTAAGAATCACATGGACTCAAATGGGCAGGGAAGTGCAAACTACAGAAGTGTGAAGAGGAAATGAAGAGAAGGAGCAATGGATTGAGATAAAGGGATTTTTTTTTTTTTTAAAGTAAGTGGGTCACCTTGTCCTGTAGACTGCACTCCTCGTCAAACCTTCATGGGCCTTTGGAGAGTTAACCCAGTTCAAAACCGAGTGTGCATGTGACTGCTTGCACATTTTCGAAAGGAAAGTCATGAACTACAGGCAGAACAGCAACCGTGTATCCCGAGCAACGAAAAATTCCATAAAAAGGCAAATTACTTCCGTGACATATAACACTTAGCTGATTTGATTGACGAGTGAGATCTTGTGTCATACGACACAATTCCTCTTCTCCTGATCATTTTGTAACTATAGATTCTCTCTGTGTTTCTCCAAGCATTGCGGAGTCAACACACTTAATTGACATCAGAAAAATCGTATGGCACATGATCAAATTAAAATGTTTCTAAAAGTATGAATCGTGAAATAATGTGTCATTGAAGGCAAAGCTGAAATACTCGCAGAAGGCCGTGACTTATTTAGTTATGTGAAAGGCAACAGGTAGATAGATACACTGGCTTTTTTGTACCTCCTTTAGCTATCTAATGGAAGAGCATTTAATTTGTACTGATCTGTCAATATATGTCACTGGCATCAATAGATGAACAAGGATATATTTGTAATTAATACCCCAACCTCCCAAAAACTTATTTTTCTTCTTCTTAAAAAAATGCTAATTAAATAGGGCTGGTAGTTGAGGCTTTGACTCAATAAAGAAAATCCTCCCAAGCCCAAAATATGAATAAAACATATATTTTGAAATATTGAAGCCACCCCCTCCCCCCCAACAATCCTTAGGTGCCCGAGACCAGCCCAGAAATACATCATCCATTTGGGAAAATAAAGAGATTTTCCCCGAATTCCCGATGGCCACTCTGCCAGCTGCATACCATTAAACATTATTACACAGGCATTTTGCTAACACGTTCCATCTCTTTTGCTGTGCATTAATACAACAGCAAATAATCAAAAATGGCAATTAAGCAAACAATCCTGTTGCTAAAAAACACTATGTGAGAATATATTTGCAAGAAACATAAGCAGATTCAAATTACTGTTATAAGCATTGAATAAGCCACTAGTGTCACATTTCATTTGCTGCAGATTGGTACAGCTACTGCCATTCAAATTCGGAATGCTCCTGTGTGAGACAGACATTAGCTTATACACAGTTCATGACAAAGAAGGAAAATATCTGATGCTCCTGAAGGAAGAAACTAAAGATGCAGCAGCTTATCCAAAGACTTACGCATATGTGTATGTAGTAGTCTTATGTAAAGGTATCACAATATAATCAGAATCTAATACATTCTTTTGGGAATAAATACGTGTTTCTATTTTCTTATTGAGATTTGTGACGGATATTGAACTGCTTCTTACATTGGGCAGCGGATCTCTCCGTGCCGTCGGGGGAGTCATTCGCAATAGATGTGACTTCCTCTGGTCAATTTCACATCATCTGCTTGCAAATCCATAGATAACTAAGTGCTTTGCGTGCTTCGAACTCCTGAATGAGGATTCCAGTCTCTTTGTTGCTGAAGTTGGGGTCTCTTCCAGCTTCCGCTGCATCTCAAGACGTTTGAAGTGAGTCAGTTGCGCCACATTTAAAGGGATGGAAAGAAGCCACTGTATTGACTGGGCACGGTAGGAGTCGGCTGTGCTGACGCTCAAATGGCGCAGACAGCCTCTGACTAATGGCAAAATGTATCTTTAGTTATCCATGGTCCATGACTCAAATCCGTAAAAACGGGTGGTGATGACATACGTTAATATTGCAAGTAAAGAGCAGCCAGCTAAGAAGATTAGCTCTTTTGATTCATTTGTTGCTAGCGATAGCTTATCAACAATAATTGCACAGAACAAGAATGGCCAGACTGTTGGTCAAATGACCAAATAAGGTATTAATTAAAATTTTATGTACATGTATGTGTGTCTGTGTGTGTGTGTGTGTGTGTGTGTGTGTGTGTGTGTGTGTGTGTGTGTGTGTGTGTGTGTGTGTGCGTGTTTTAAATAATATTTATTATCTATTATACATCGGTTTAGCAATTAATGAACGTAATGATCTGCTGCTACGCACCGCCTAATCTGCCTGGCAACAGTCGATCGAATAGGAGAGTCTGGCACTTATTTTTTTTCCATTTACAGCACTGCAAAAAACTTCAATCAATAACTTGCAGAACTGAGGCACAATATTAATGCATATATGTGAAATAACAATGCATTTCTCAATAAAAAAATCCATCATTCATGGCTGTGTTGTACTGCCGTAAATGTGGGTATGCTTATATCGAATCCGTACAACACAGTGGGACTGCGCCACTTCTGTTTTTGATGGAACTAAGATTGATATACAAGGTCAGCAGTAGAGAAACCATCAGCCATGCGTTTTAGCAATTTCCCAGGTGGCTCTGAGGTGCTAATTAGATAGTGTTGATTTAGACCAAGTGTGCATAATGTGTGCTATTATTGTACGATCACCAGAGAAAAGGAGTGAAAGGGAAAATGATGCAGAGATAAAAATTGGAGAAGGCGACATGACGATAGCATAACACTGCCACACTGAAGGAGCAGTAGAGGGAAACAATGATATCATCTGTAATCAGACTACCAATGTCAAGATGGTTGCAAAATCAGACAAAATTAATTCTGCAGTCTCAGGCTGTGTAGGTGAGAAATGCACCGTGTCGTGAGACGTGTTTCATTGAAGGATAACAAAAATATGTGATGTGTTGTCAGACCCATCCCCTGATCTCACTATTTCGGGCAAGGGGGTCAAACAAATAATTGTCGCGGGCCACACTGCAGTTACCGGATGACTGGGAAACATAAAGAATTTCTTCAACTAACTATTGTTTAAATTACTGTAATAAGGGTTTTGGGAACAAGAAAATGGTTAAATATCTCTTATTTATTAAATACATATAATTTGAAATGTTGGTACGGATTTTAGCAAGCGTCATAGAAGTTGACATGTTTGATTTGCTTTCGCGGGCCAAATAAAATGATGTGGCCAGATCTGACCCCCCAGCCCTTGAGTTTGACACCTGTGATTTCGGGGGACACGTGAAATGCATGGGTAGGCTCAATTTTTATTATTACCCTTCCAAACAAATATGTGTATTTGTGGTGCAAATGCAACAGTGGAACATCTACAGCATCGTTGAGAGAAACACGACCTTATTAATCCTGTCGGCTTCGGTCAGGATTTATGATGTTGCTCAATACCACTGAAAACGTTCTGTCGTGTTTGTTTCCTGTTGTGTAATGTAACATAAAATTGTGCTGACGTGCTTTGTTGCTATTTTGTGAACATGATAGGCACAACAACTCACTCTTGGATCAATTCAAAGTAGCCCCAAATAGTGGTGGATGATTTATTTTCTGCCACAAAATCCATCAAATTGGGGTCTGCAGGCTTCTTAACTTCGGTCCGAATTCCCTGTGCGGGTGTCACTCCTGCCCTTCTGTATTTGTAATTGGCTGACAGCAAGCATGAAATGACGTTTGTGTTTGGTGGGCCTCAGCGTTACATTCAAAGGCAAATGTAAAAATGAGGAGTACTTGCAAGTGGGAAAATCTATGTCTGTAATTTTGAGATAGTAAGCTCTTGAATGTTCATTTCTAGATATCGCTATTATAATGACAAATCAAAAGCGGCACTGTGGGCGACAGGTTTGCACGTCGGCCTCACAGTGCAGCAGTGCAGGGTTTGATTCCGCCTCTGGTCTTCCTGTGTGGGGTTTGCATGTTTGCCCCGTGACTGCGTGGCTTTTCTCCGGGTACTCTGGTTTCCTCACACATTCTACAAAAACCCGCGTGGTTAATGGAACACTCGAAATTAGGTGTGATTGGGAGCGCGAATGGTTGTTCGTCTCTGTGTACCCTGCGGTTGGCTGGCGACTGGTTCAGGGTGTACCCCATCTTCTGTCCAAAGCCAGCTGGGATAGGCACCAGCATGCCCGCGACCCTCGTGAGGATGAGGGGATTAGAAAATGGATGGATGGATGGATGATAAATCGTTTCGCCACACAGCAAGCATGACCACCTAGGACGGATGCAGTTTAAGGGGTCAACAGAAGGACATCAGCAGGGGCAATGCCAATGACAACACACACACACACACACACACACACACACACACACACACACACACACACACACACACACACACACACACACACACACACGCACACACACTTCAAACCTATTTGGCTGTTGATTAGATTCCATCAATCAAACACCGCATCCTATGACCAGCCCTTTGGGAAGGGTCTGTGTCTTGCATACTATTTTAAGACCAATTTATTTTTTGTATTCTTGCCTATGTACTTCTTTAGACCTCGAAAGATAATCGTCATTTTTTTTCTCTGGTGTTAGTAATTCCTTCAAGAACTATGCATTATTCAACTGTAAGTGTAACACTGCTACTGTGACTTTACTGTTAAATGGAACAATGTCGATCCCAAGTTTGTCCTAACATTCATCCCATGTTCTTTCTCACCACATCTCATCAGGAAGCTGTTGCCATGACACTGCAGGGGTGACTGACAGCTGCAACAGTGCATGTGTGCCCGTATGAGTGTATGCTGCATGTTTGCGTGAAGCGTGGGCTCACGTGTGTGTGTATGTGTGTGTGTGTGTGTGTGTGTGTGTGTGTGTGTGTGTGTGTGTGTGTGTGTGTGTACGCGTGTGTATGTGTGTGTATGCGTGGCCTGCAACTAGCAAACACCAACTGGGAGCACGGGGATGCCACAGAGAGTGTGGGTGAATGATTGATGATGAGGAGGTGCGGGTACGATGGGACGAAGGGTGAATATAAGAAAAGCGGAAGGCGTTCAAAGACAGCTGGGCGGACAAGCACGGAAGGTTCACAGTTGTCATACAAGTCTTTTCAATTTATTTGAAAAACAACAGAAGTTACTTTTCTTAATACTTTGGATGAGAAGGAAAGCAACCGAGTTGGAGGTGGATGTTTTTCCTTTGACAGCAACAACAAGGAAAACTGATGTCACCGTTTCATTGAGGTCGTTTCCGATGTTTCAAAACTCTGAACATTGTATTACCTTTCCAAACTATGTGGGAATTGTCTGAAAACAGTAGCTTGTCCCCCAACCAGCTGAAAACATTGTTCATGTGCAGTCAAAACAGGCAGATGATTTATACACAATTCATCTACCAGGAAACGTCATGTGCCCAATATTCCGCTATGATCCAGCCATTCAGCTTATCTGGGTGGCAGCAGCCAAAGTCGCGATGTTCAGATCACCCTGTCCTCAGTCCTATACTGCTCCTGTTCCATAAGGGTAAAACCTGTGGTGTCCCAAGGCTAGCCGTCAGACAAAGCATATCCTCGGTATTTCCAGAGGCTTCCTACTGCTTGGACATGCCTGAAAGACCTCACCAGGGAAGTGTAGGTGAAGCATCTGGGCTACACTCGATGATCTCGCCACTCAAGCTGGCTTCTGAACATACAGTATGTAAGAGCAAAACTAAGGCTCCTTGCTGGAAGACTGGAAGATTTTCTCTATGTATGAGGCCTGTGACGGAAACAAATTTCAGCCGCTTCCGTCTACAAACTTGTCCTTTCCCATTAAAGCCAAGGTGTCTTGACTGAACAAATTTCAGCAGAAGGTGTGAATATCACAAGTCAAAAAAGAAAAATGCAGAGGTGAAGTAAATCCTGACTGGTTTTGAATAGCTGTTAGTTGAGACTTGAAGCCTCTGTCAACAGCCACATCACTTCGTTGACACCCCCGGCGATTTTGGCGAAGCGTGTCATACACTTGATAGTGATGTTTTGTGAGACAACCGTCCTCCTCCATTTCTCTGGCCCTTCTTTCATTCCCCTTCACCATGACGGTAAACTCTTCATTCTTTTCTTTTATTCAGCCATCATCGAAAGCCTACTCCCCATCCTTTATATTACTGCTGTACTTTCACACCGTCTCTGTAATATACAATGTCTCTCCCTCCCTTCTATGACTTTGTACAGAGAGTGGGTAGTGTCAGTTCTGCACAGTGCTTCCAAATGAGTCCATCTGCCAAAGAGGAGGAGGAGGAGGAGGAGGCAGAGGAAGAGGGCAGTGAGCATGTGTCTTAATCGGGATTGACAGTTACATCGCTCCAAGATAAACACCCGTCACACGTTAATCCTCCACTGATCACATTCTCTCGCTCATGCCACAGATTGTGGACGGACACAAACAAATCAGGTGGAGGTGGCGACCCACACAAACGCGTATCGCATCACATGCCCTCTTTATTGTTTCGTACAAAAGGTCATGCTGCATGTCAGCGAGCTCTGATGTGCTATGAGGACACAGTTGGCGTTCTCTTCTCACCTCTCATTTATTAAATGTATTACTTTCAACTTTAGTTCACCCAAATTACAAAAAAAAAAGTGTTACCTCAAGCCCAGCAACACATTCTGATATTGTTTCAGTGATTTTATACATTTGACCATGGCTGAAATAGCTATATATTTATATATAGTTATATATTCAATGTTGTCTAAAAAAAAAAAACTATATATGAACTGTCCATCAGTCTTCATGAAGATTAGTATTCTTAGATCGAAGAAATAATTGTTTAATTTTAATTCATTGAATGATCTATTTTGTTCTTTCATTTCTCTGCTACGACTTCTGCCCAAACCTCTGCAATAGCTGATCTGTTGACTCTCTGGAACTGGAGTTGTTGGACATTTATTTTAGAGTTTGTAAAGAAACCTTCGCACCCGAGGAAGATCAACCTATCAGAGACAGAAGGCATGGCCAACAAGATGTCAATCATTTTCTGTGCACTCTGGCATAGTCTGATCACTGGCGCACATCTGCCGCCTCATGCTAACCTGTTAGCTTGCGCTTTAACAGGTTTGATGATTATTTTGGAGTCCACCTCAGGAAAATGAAAAATTGCCCACCCCCCGTTTGCTAACAACTTGGCAAGAGTAGCAAACAGAAGCAGAGTGGAGGGACTTCACGCAGCTGAGAGGAAGAAATGAAGCGACGCAGAATTAGCAACATTTCTGCTCGACACATCACTTTTTAAAAAATACAATATGTGTACTTTGTAAAAAATTAACTCTGAAACAGATACATTTCAAGTGAGAGCATAACAAATAATATTACTGAGCTAGCATTAGCACTGTAAACAAGCCAATATCAGCCATGTTTACAGTGCTAATGCTAGCTCAGTAATATTATTTGTTGAAGCTGGATAGTTCTTTGTGACAATTTACCACAACAACACACGTTCACAATTGCATGAGATGATGACTGGCATGTTTGAGAACTTGGGCTTGTACATGTCAGTGCATGGCTTTGGTCAGACCTGGGGTGGCAGGCAGGTGGATTCGTGAAGTGACGCAAAAAACAGCAAGCTCCCTCTTTAAAACTACTTTTAAAAACTGAACTGTAAGCTTTCTGGTTATGATCCCAGAAACACCTCTGAGTGGGATACAATGCAGTTCTACATGCCAGGATCTAAGCATACCACAATCATTCATACATATCAACAAACGTGCCGGATCAATGTGTCAAAACCTACATGGTCAACATAAATTAGACTTGTGAAAAGATATTTGAAAAGTCCCATAACAAGCGATAAATCTAAAAGATGAGATTGCTGAGTTGAAGTCACCCACCTGGGTTGGCGTTGTGAAGGGACAGCCCGTCGAGCTTCCTCCCCCAGCCGGCTGAGTGAAGGCGACCGGCTCCTTGACCCCCTTCCCATGGTCCGAACCACCACATTGCCATTGGGGCTGCCGCTGGGCATCTGCTGAAGCAGCTGAGGTGACAGGCTGCGATGTAAAGCTGAGGAGCCAGGCTGCGAATGACCCTGCTGGGGGGCCCTGTTTGGGTGTTGCTGAAGATGGGGTCCCCAGTGGCTGGGTGAACCGTGCTGCTGGTACTGACTGACCGTTAGGTTGTTGTCACTGTTGGAACGCAGCAGGACACGTGGAGCCGATAAGGATGTGACGGACTGGCTGTTTCCACTGTTGGTGCCAGACGATGGACCCTGGCGTCGTTTGGAGTATGCTGGAGCCTCACGGAAAGGCACTGCAGGGGAGTAACGGAGGGAAGACGTCATTTGACTGTCCTGATCAATTGTAGGTGAAGGAGACAAAGAGCATGAGGCCTGAAAAAGCCTTCTTTTTCTCAAACAAAACAAAAAACAAAAATATTTCAGGTGATCTCAACCAGTGAGTTTACACCTTACTTCCCCCTCTGACAGCCATAATGTGTTCCCTCCAAACAAAAGACAAAACCTCCTCTTTCTAATTGCCCCCCATCACTGATAACACCAAAAACTGTCAAGATTGGTGAAGGAATTCTTGACAACCAACTATCTTGTTCCGCCCGCCTCTCGCCAACAACTCAATCTTGGACACCCTTGATTGTAATTTAATTGCAGACTTTGATGACAATTGCAGATCACCTAAGTTCTGGTTCCTTACGGGTTTGCGCGTGCAAAAATGTGCAATCGTTCACACAAACAGATGTGGAAGATGACCTACGAATTAGACGTATCCAGCACTACGTCTGCCAGTTGCGCAAAGCTGCCAATCAGCTCATTTTGCTCATTTTGTGAGCAGATTAATTGTGACCGCTTATTCTACATCATTACATTCCGCATCTAAAAGGCAGGTGCAAAAGCAGCACGCAAAGTTTTGCCAGCATAGCACAGATGAGAAGCAGCGGAGAGAACTTTTCAGCTTGCGTAAATACTTTGAAAACCCGAAAAAAAACAGATGAAAAGATTATGACACATCGTCTATTCGGCAATACAAATGTGGAGTTTCATGGATCAATGAAGCAATTTTAAAGCGCCATGCTAAATCTGTCAAAATTCTCCTTCAAAGATTTGAAAAATGGATGGACAGACCGAACTAAATTCATACAAGTCAGACAACATAACAAAAATACTCAAAGAACCCTCAGTGAGATATTCGGTAGATATTAAAGGCTCGGTTGTTGTTGTCATTGGTTTCAAATGATCCTTCGTATTTGTGATCGGTTTAGGTGTCTTGGAAAATGAGTGGAAGCCGACATCTAGCCATCTATCGACCGTCCTAATTGCCTCCTTGTCCTTTTCCACACATTGTGCTGAGATTTCTCAATCGATACCCCTGCAATCAAATCTTTCATCTAAAACCAATATCGGACATGAATGTCATCTCCCCAGCAACACAGACTGACCCATATTGAACCGAGCATGTTCCTTGGCGACACGCCGCATTCTGCTTTCTCTCTAACCTTCATCGGCATTTATCAGAATGACTGTGAGTTGTATTCCACCGGCCGGTGACGCCTGTGCTACAATGTCAAACTGAACCTGTAATGGAGGGAGGCCATGATTTCCCCACGGACACTTCCCTTCGTTACACTGTGAAATGACGAGCCGTCACCGGCGCTCCTTGCGACCACAGCAGACGGCCTGAAGCCATTTCGATAAGGAGCACATGATAACGAGCTGATTAGTACAATCGCAGCCAGCAAGCGTTGTCTGCGATTTGCTGCGGTGAAGTTCATGCTCTTCGCTTTTTTTTTTTTTTTTGAGCGGAGAGAACCTAAAAGGGGGATTCACTGAGTCATTATCACATTCCCAGAGCAGAATCGAAGGCCTTTATCTCTCCGTACACTACAGACGTGTTGATGAAGGAAAGAGGTGCTAATATCTAATGAGCTAGCACATTGTGGTGCCGCCACTCTATCCGTGTGAGTCGCACAGCTTCTCGTGTGGAGCTGCTTTTAGTTCTCCCTTGGATAAGCAACCTGGGTCCACCTAGTGATCTCGCTCATTTAGGTTCCGGTAAAAGCCTGAATTGTTATATATGCAAAAATGCAAACATGGAACACATCGGAACTTAATGATTGTTATTTTATTATTATGATATTATTTTAAATTTCAAAAGCAAATAATATCAGCACGTCGGCCTCACAGTGCAGAAGTGCAAGGTTCGATTCCGGCTCCGGCCTCCCTGTGTGAAGTTTGCATGTTCTCCCTGTGCCTGCGTGGGTTTTCTCCGGGTACTCCGGTTTCCTCCCACTTTCCAAAAACATGCGTGGCAGGTTAATGGAACATTCTAAATTGTCCCGAGGTGTGATTGTGTGTGCGTGCAAATGGTTCGTCTGTGCGTGCCCTGCGAGTGGCTGGCAACCAGTTCAAGGTGTCCCCCGCCTACTGCCCGAAGACGGCTGGGATAGGCTCCAGCACGTCCGCGAACCTTGTGAGGATAAGCGGAGCAGAAAATGGATGGATGGATAGAAGCAAATAATACGCTATTATTTTTTTACGATATTATAACATGACTAGACTGGCCAGTTAATAAATCATAAAATCCAAGGGTAGGGTACTCCGGTTCTTTGAGAGCTGTATCCTACCTGTTTTAGATCGCGCCCTACTCCAACACACCCGATTCAATTGATCATAGGGTGACCAACCGTCCCGCGTGCCCATCCAGGGTTTGAAGCTCATTCCATCGCGTCCGGCAAATTCAGGCCGCGTCCTGTGTAAAATCAGTGCTTGCTCTCATAACAAACTTGGTCACTATATCGTCCTGAGCCCGAGGCAACCAAATTAATAGTAGTTGAAAGCTCTGTCGCCGCACCACCCCTCAGTTGAACAGCTGACTGGGGTGACAGGTTGCCGTCAACCGCTTTTTGGTTGTCATGAGGCTGCACGCGCGTGCAGCAAAAGATCGACAAGTCAGACACGCTGGCACATGAATGAGCGCGCGCTTTCGATGAAGTCGAAAGTGGAGAAAGAAACTAATGTTGGTGAGCCAAAAAGAGAAGATGTGTGTACAGGAAAGATAGGGAAAGTCAGAACTTGTGGGGAGCAAGGGCTGAGGGGGATACTGAGAGGGTCTTTTTTGCAAAATGTTGTTTTCAATCAGACATGGAGGGGGATACGATGTCAAATGACACAGGCTCACGGAGACACAGCTCTGTGGAGTTGTGGAGGGATTCTCGCCAGTGTGCCGTGGCACATTATTGTGCCTAAAGAGAACATTAGGTGTGCTGTGGGGAATAATCCAAAATCAATTATGCAGATGAAAAATTTGTTCTTTTATCATTAAAAAAATGTTCCTGTTAATTTATCTATGCCAACCATCTATAGGAAAAGGAAGAACAATCAAATGCTTTTCCACTAGATGGCAGGAGGTACATCATTAACCTGTTGTCGAGTTCTTTTTAAATTCAGATAATTTGTTTTCAAATCTTTAAATGACCTCGCCCCTCCTTACCTCAGTGAGCTCCTCCGCCTCCAAGAACTAAGCGGAGGCTCAGAGGGGATCGAGCTTTTTCCGTTGCTGGTCTCTCTCTTTGGAATGACGTCCCACTGAACGTCCGGCAAGCCCCCTCGCTGCCCATCTTTAAAACTCGGCTCAAAACTAATTTTTATTCTTTGGCTTTTGAGTCAGCATAAGACTTGATTTTTAGTTTTACTGTTTTTGTGCTTTCTACTGTCTTTGTTATTTATTTATTGTTTTAACGTTGATTGTTTTATATATGATATTTGCTCAATATACAACACTTTGTATACAGCGGGGGTTGTTTTAAAGTGCTTTATGACTACAGCTGAGTTGAGTTGAGTGTAGCCTTTTTTTTGTGAGTGCTTTTGCTCAGTGGCGTGCCGTGACATTTTTTTTTTCCGATGTGAAATATGTACCTTGCCTCAATAAAGGTTGAGAAACACTGGCGTAGTGAAACCCCATATATTATAAGCTATTCAATTTCATTAAAGTTATGTTCCTTATTGGCCTATTCGTGATCATACATCAGCAGATGTTCAGGGGAATAGGACGTTGTTCATATATAAATAGGTATGTGCTAAAAATGGGTAAAGCGCTATCAGTGAGTCTGTCCGTGGCGTGGAGATGCCGCATCGCTGCCACGCCGAGATGTGTCCCACATTGTCCCTCCGAAACATACCCCTTGTCCCTCCTTGGGCTTATTAGCGGGTAGTCACCTTGATTGATCATGATCGTTGCAGGCTTCGATAGACCTTGCTGATGAGCTGATCGTTTGAATCAGGTGTGTTGAAGTAGAGAAAGAGAGAGAGAGAGAGAGAGAGAGAGAGAGAGAGAGATCTAAGTGAGGCAGGCTATGGCTCTTGTGAACCGGAGTTCCCTACCCCTGATATAATGCACGCAGCACTGATATTTAGCGTTGCGAGCAACCTGCTTATACACGGTGTGTAGTTTTAGAGAGAGAGAGATAGAGATAGATAGACAGATAGATAATGTATGAGAATGAAAACATATTGATTGATAGAGAGAGATCAGACTTGAGTACATAGTTTTTTTTCTTTTTCATTAAATGAAATACCAAAACACAGTTCAAAGTTCAGTGAGCTGTAATTATTTTTACTACATGGAGACAAGTGTTCAAGGTTAAATAGAACAAACACA